TCTTTGCTTATCTGTTTGCTCTAGTTTCTAGGAAGCTGGAACGAAGTTGTCTCTCCGTGTGCTCCTGCGCCGGAGGCCGCGGTGGCTCCGCAGAGGCTTTGCCCCTGCCTGCGCGCTGCGTTTGGGGCTGCTGTCACTCACTGTGGCAGTGAGTGACACATAAGCTCCTCTTGCTAAGGCTGTAGTGGCTTTAAATGCTCCTGTGCGCACCCGTTCCAAGGGTGAGAGCTGTGCCAGCCCCGTCGCTGTGAGGGGCTGCATCCCTGCACTGTCTAGTTGCTCAAGTGCTCAGTGCTAAATCTCAGGCATCTTCTGGTGAACATAGTGACGTGGAAGGCTTTGAGCTGGTTGAACATAGATCAAAGTAATTACATGATTAATGAGTAGAAATAGTTTAATTGGGGAACTTCTTTTGAGTTACGTAGGTGGTGTTGGGGTGTTCTTATCTCTTTGTTTTGTGGTGGGGGGGAAAAAGGAAGAAGTAGCTGGAAAGGGATTACAGAGGATGTCAACTGTCCGAGGCCCCAGCAGCAGCCCACCCAAATCACATTTTACCATGAGGTTTGAAATTCCTAAGCAAAGAAATACCAAAAAAAAAAAAAACCTCTTCTCTTGGCAGCTTGTGGTGTTTGAGACCCTGTAATTAAGGAAGTAAAATATATTTGCACAAATAGCTGTGCTCTAATTGCTCAGCACACGTAGGCCGGGCGGTGCTGCAGGAGGAGAGGCGCTGCCTGGACCGGGGGGCCGTGATGGGCAACTGCATCCTCGCTGCTGCCGGCCACAACGGGCAGAAGCTGCTGCTGCTTTTGGCCCTACGGATGAGGCGACATGTGGCAAAACGAGCAGCCTTCTCTTCCTGGGCACGGCTGGTTCCTGCTTCTCCTTGCATGAGAAGAGCCACGGCTGTTATTACTTAACTAACAGACACGATTTCCCTGCAGATCCTGGAAGCTCCTCCACGCTGGAAAGGAGTGGGTGGCCTGACGCGGCTGTTCCCTTAATCCTGGTGAAAGGCACCGCTTTCTTCTCCCACGTCCAGCAGCGGCTCTGCGGACGTCAGCCTGATTATTCCTGATTCCCAGCAGTGTGGGAGCCGGTGGCCGGTCCTGCGCGCAGGTGAGAGGAGGTGGATGTGACACCGGAGCAGCAGGGAGGAGCTGCCCTGCCGAGACGTGTCCCTCGGTGCAGGAGCTCACGCCGTGCAGCACCGAAGCGCCCGCTCGCCCGGCTCCCGCCTGCAGGAATCCGCCGGGAGCAGAGCTTGCTCCTTGCTGCAGTCCTGCTTGTCTGCAAGGCAGCGCTTCTAAGCGATGCACGAGCCCGTGCCCTCCTGACAGGCAGCATCCCCGCTGCTCCCTACAGGAGGGGAAAAAGGGAAGCGTGGAGATGTGAAGCAGTCGAAGGGCACGAACGTCGTTCCCATCCAGTAACATCTTTATCTTGCCTAGATTAGATTAAAAAAAAAAAACTAGGTGTCCTGCTGATAAAAATTCTGTTGGCAGATGCCCTATTAGTGTTTTCCGTGCTGCAACAGGAAGAAAAAAGCAAGAGAGGATCTAAGAGATGGGATTAGGAGTGTGAGATGTCACTCCTGGATGTTGTTTGCTCTCTCTTGCACTCAGAAAGGAAATGCTGGAGACCCCGGAGTCTTTCCTGGCTCTGGTGTCCCTGCTGCTCTTAGCTGTGCTGTGAGGAGAAGCTTAGCTGGTCCCAAACTGTTTAGTAGGTCAAATCCAGCACTTCAGGTTCTCTTCAGAGAATTTAGAGAACGTGACTTTGGAGTGGGGCTCTTCTTGCAGTAACCACTTAATTGCAGCATAGTCGTTATTGGATCGTGCAAATTATTAGAGTATGTAAACCAGTAAGCTTGCTGTTTATTTCCATCCTGCTGCTGCTCACTGATCAAAGTGCTAATGGGACCTTTATGTCTTTTTCTCCAGTGGTTCCTGAGAGCGCTGCGCACTCCAGAGCAAGACGAGGCCACGAGGCACCATGGAGCTTCCCAATTACAGCAAGCAGTTGCTGCAGCAGCTGCACGCCCTCTGCAAAGAGCAGCAGTTTTGTGACTGCACCATCTTCATCGGGCCCATGCATTTTAGAGCACACAAGGTTGTTCTGGCTGCTTCCAGTCTGCTTTTCAAGTCCTTGCTGGACAGCACGGACACCATCTCCATAGATGCTTCTGTGGTGACCCCGGAGGAGTTTGCGCTCTTGCTGGAGATGCTCTACACTGGTAAACTCCCGCTGGGCAAACACAACTTCACCAAAGTCATCTCGGTGGCAGACACTCTGCAGATGTTTGATGTGGCTGTTAGCTGCAAAAACCTCCTCAGAGATCTCCTCGGTTGCTCGACTCGGGATCAGGTGGTGAGAGGTGTCTCCAGCCAGGCCGCGGGCTTGTCTGCAAACGATGTTGAAGCTAATAATGCACCCCAGTTTGAGAAGCCTCCTTCTGAAGTAAAACCGGACACGCTTCTCCCTCAGAAAACTTCCTCTTCTCCTGGTCCTGCAGAAGTAGAAATGGAAGCAGATATTCCTGGCCAGGAGCTTGCTGTAAATCACACTTTGGTTCATCAGAATGTAACGCCAAGCGACCCCAAATCCCTCGGGGAGGAGCCAAGTGCTCGTTCAGATCCCCGTTCCCATGTGGAGCAGGACAGCTGTGTGGCAGAGGGGGTTGCTGAGCTCTCTGCTGAGAAAGGAGGAAGGATTGAGGATTTAGGTGAGAGATTAATGGTCTGGAGGTTGTTTTTGTCTGGCCTGGCTTGTGAGCAGCACTGGAATCTACCCCTTTTCTGAAAGGAGCTTCCTTCCCCTCGTGCTGTGCAGTGGCCTCCTTTGGCCTTGGTGGTTTCACCATTGTACCACACTTTGCCCACGTGTGGCTGTGGACTCTGCGTTCGGTGCAGAATGTGAAGCAGGTAGGACTGTCTGTACAGCAAAAGGGATCAGAGATGCCTACTAGAGCTGCCTTATCCTTTAAACTCCTGTTCAGCATGGCAGGAAAACAGAGGCTGTATTGGGCTTAAAATAAATGTTCCATATATAACTAGTGTTAAAGAAACTGTTGGTTTTCCCTCCAGGCTGCCTGGTATCTTTAGAAGGGATTTATGAGTCACAGTTTTGCTATTATAGCCAATACGCTGGTTACAAACTGGTGCTTTTCAATCGCCTCATGCTTTCTGTGAATCCCTTCAATTAGCAAATAACTCATCTCGTTTCTCTCCCGCAGCACCAGAGAGCAAAAGCTGTGAACTGGATTTCTTTCTTCGGCACGAAAGTGTTTTCTCTGAGGCCCTTTCTGATGCCCAGACTGTGCTGAAGAGGCTAGAAGAGTGCCAAGAAATTGCAGCCTCTCAAAGGGAGGTAGGTGCGTTTACTGCATAAATGATATAAATGATAAACCTTTGGCTTTTGGTCCGCTCTGCTGAGAGCCGGAATAGTTTGGCCCTGTTTAGAAAGTCTTTCTGGGGGGAAGCAGACGTCTGGTGCTGCGTTGTTTGAAGGGCAACGTGTGCTCCCCTGGACTCCCCTGGGAGAAACATCTGTGCGAGCAAGCTGCTCGTGCACGGGCGAAGGGAACGTGGGCCCTGCAGGCAGCGTCGCTGCGTGGCGGGGGAGCTTCCGCCTTGCCTCCTCTCCTCCCGTTTATGGCAAGAACTTTAGGCACTGCAGCAGTTTATAAACGACTGACACACGAGGTCCCAAAATAGCCCTGCCCTGGTGCATCTGCTCTGTCCCATGTGGTGTCTCCTGGGGACACAGGACGGGGTTGCAGACGCGTTGCGTCCCCCGGCGCTTCTCGTGGCCACGGGCCCTTTGAGCCTGTGTTGAAGGGTATTTGAGACGGGGGCTCAGTTAGTGCTGCAGGATATTCTGGGCTTGGAACGATGGCAGCCAGATGCCAGCCGTTGTGCCAGCTCGAAGCCACCGAAAAAGCAGCGAGCTGCTTCCACAGCAGCACTGCTGGCGTTAGTGGATTTGCCTAATGACTGTGGAGCCTGAAAAGGATTCTGCCAGTTTGCTCACATTGGCAGCCCATTGCTAGTATATAAAAATATATATATTTCTAACTCACCCAGGCTTTGTTTTTGGTGGAGCTACTCTAAGGCTGGATTGTCTAGCTGCATGAATTGCCCAATTTACCTTTTCTGCAGGTACAAAAACAAAAGCGCCACCATTTTGTTACTAACCCTTCAGCAGCCCCACAGTTTGCTGACCTTTCAAACCCTAGAAATCCTGTTTCTTGGGATGCTGAAGTGCTCTCCGTATCCCAAAAGCTTCCTGGATGGAGAGCCACATGGATTTGTCAGCTGGGCTCTGTTGTGCCCACAGTTTGACTGGGCAACGTGGGGTGTTTTGTCTGCAACAGCTTTCTGGTTTTGAAAACCCAAGCTGACATCTTTATTAGAAAACACATATTACAGTGACAGGCAGGAGGAGAATTCCCTGAAGTTGGGAAATGCAAATTTCTGATGAACTTTTGAATGTTTGTGCGAGAGAAAAGTTCTTTGTTCCCGTCACTGCGGTGGCCTTCGCAAGACTTTTTTGATGGTGCTGAACTTAAAACCCTTGGGGTTCTCGGAGGCAGAAGTAGTGGGTCCTTTTGGTGTTTGCAGGAGAAAATCCCTGGGCTGACAGACCCCTTCGAGTGTGGTGGGTTTTTTTTTTTTTTTTTTTTTTTTTTTTTTTTTCCCCCCCCCCCCCCATTTGCTCTCTCCTCTTTTTAACTAAAAAATAGCTCCGTTTTAAGGCTTTATTTATTCTGCACTTCGGCATTTGTTCCTGGACCAGAGCCTGAGGGAGGGCACTGCACCCGTGCCATGTATCCAGCCACGGTGCCAGGAGGGACCTGCGGTGACACCGTGCCATGCTGCACACACAGCCCTGCGAGCTGTCCTGGTCCTGCCTTCCTCTGACATGCCGCAGTTTTCTGTAATTTTCCTCCATTTTCTTTTAATTTTCTGGTAACTGCTACATTTTTGATTTCTTCAGCGCCACCAAGGCCCTGGTCCTGCAGATGAGGTCCCTGGGCCACGCTCTGCTCTTCTGACTCCCAAATGAGCTGCATTAGCAGGAGCCAAATGGGAGGTTTTAGAGCTCAAAGATAGTTTGGGGATCTGACCGCAGAATGGCACCTGGACAGTTTTTTTTCTGTCGCTATAAATAAGTGCTGAATAAATGAGAAATGGATTTTCTTTAAGCCTTCCAGAAAAATCACTTCTCGGCTGCGACAAGCATGAAAAGTGTCAGCCCCAAAGGTAATGGGGAGAGGAGGGGGAACTGCTGCCTATTGTAAGTAAGGGCTTAGACAAAAACTCTCAGCTCAGCCAGATCTATCGCTTTCCGAGCTCCCTGCTGGGATAAGCAGGATCCCGAGGCACCGACACCAAATCCAGGCTCTGTTTCCAGCAGAGGGAGTAGCTTTTTCCCACCGAGGCCCTGCATTCTCTTTGGGGAAACACAGTGGCAGGTTTTCAAGTCGTGCTGAAAGTGCAAGTTCAGCTCAACAGCCCCCAGCTCGAGATCCGTAATTAAGGCTGAAACGATGTCAGTGGAAGGAGTCAACAACTTCCTCCTCCCTTTTTTCCCCCCTCCTATTATGTTATTTTACCAGTCATTTGCTCGAAGACTCTCAGCTGCCTCAGGGTGAGTGAAAGTCGATTTTGGAGGTGGCCACGTGGAGATGGCGCGATGAGTGGGGCCAGCCTTGCTCCTGAGTGGCCAGTGTGGCTGGCAGCGCTTGCCCTGCTGCAGAGCAGGGGCTTCTCTGGGCATCCCTGGGGCTCGTCCCCTTCCTGCCCACGAGGCATTTTTGGGTAGACCTGCTCTCCCGAGTGCCCTTGCATTTTGGACACCAAACCTGGGCAAGGTGCAGGACTGGGGACAGCTCGGGGGGGTTCGTGGGGATTTTCCAAGGCTGCCTGTTAGGCAGAGGCTGTCCTGGCTTTTGGCCACCTCGGATTTCCGCGGGAGTTTGCTTTGGACAGAACCCCCTGTGTTCCCACTTCTTTTCCCGTCTGGGAATGGGCCCCTTGTTCCGTGCTGGGAAGGGCTCGAGCTGTGTCCCTGTTTTCTCCCCTCGGGCCTCCCTATTTCCCAGGACCTCTGGCTGAGATTTCTTAGGTTGCAACATTTCCCCCCGAGGAAATTCGTGGTGCAGGGCTGGCTTTTCCGAGAAAAGTGTATTTTTTCTGTAAGTTTGCTTCTGCTTTCTGTTTCCTGAGCTGAAAAATGCAGACGTACCCTCCATGAGTGGGTTTTCTATTTAGGGAGATGTGATTTTTTTGGAGGAGGGGAGGCTGTTTTTTCGCTTAGCATCTTTCTGTGCATCTCACACAAACTATTCCTATCTAATTTGGTTTTGGCCTGGATGAAACCTGCTTGGAAACGAGAACGAGCCTGAAATTGCAGTAATTTGGGGAAGCATTGAAGAGCTTTGCTGGTGTCAAGTCTTATCTTCTTGTGCTCTCTTAAGAGAAACTCAATTCAAATTATTGCACAGCTCATTTGTTCCCTCCACTCCTGGGTTCAGATGAAGTGGGGGAGTGTTGAATCTCCCTTCTAAAATAGATGTCACGGTGCTCGTGGATCATTTCCAGCATGTATGGGCCTGTCCAATTATTGTCATCCTTTGTTTGCAGCCGCAGGAATTTCGGGATGCAGCATAAGCAATGAGGCGCCTGTGCCCCCCGCCTCCCGATGAGGCTGCCGTGTTGCCCTCCTGCTGCTGGAGGCTCCGTGGGTCACGTACAAATGCAGGTTTGAAAAGGCAAAAGGGCTTCAGGTGTCTGAATGGCAGATGGAAGTGCGTATATATATACATATACATATATATTTTTCGCCTCTGTTATTATTGTGTGCACAACTTCCATCCATAACAAACCGATCACGACGTCCCGGACACTTTCCCACTGGATCCTCCCCTTTACAAGCCACAGGCCTCCCGAGACTTTGCACAGCAGCACGTGCAGCTCTGCTCTGAGAGCACGTGCAGAGGGGCCAGCACAGTTTGCCTTGTTCAAGGGTATATTTTTATTTGCTGCCTGAACGTGCCTTGGCTTGTGAGAGCGAGCAGGAGGTTTGAGGACAGAGGAGCTTCTGCTTTGACCCTCTATCGTGTGGCTTTCCAGCCTGTGCTTTGAAGATCTCTCCCACCCTCCTTTAGATGTTTGATTAGTTCTAAAGCTGCTGTGTAAGGTGAGGTCCCTCGATAGGAGTTAGAAAAGTGGCTGTTTGTGGAAATCTGCTGCTGAGCCCGGAGTGCTCAGGCCCGGGATGCCCCCGCAGGGCAGGTCTGTCAGCGGGACAGGAAAAGACCCCCGGTAACTTGGTGCCCATTCCCGCGTGGGGACGGACACGATGGCTCTTTGGGCCAGCAACTGTGGAGACCCAGCTGAGACCTCTCATTATTGTGGTTGCAGGGTGACCTTTCGTGAAAAACGCGTGTGCTGTTTGATCCCGGGGCTTGGCCTACGTTGACGGAAGTGCGTTAGCAGTGACGCGGGCTGCTCCAGGAATCATTTCAGGAGAGTTTTTCCAAACTCGCTGGTGTTTGTTTGTAGAAATTCCCATTGAGAACTTGCCTCAAGGCCATGGTGGAGCGAGGGAAGGCTGAGCTGCTGCTGCGAGGGCTTTCTCCTGGGTTGGCTGGATGTGATGGCGAGTGTGTCTGGGAGCCCGTGGGAAACACTGTGGACACCGGAGCTGATCCCTCAGGGCTCAGTTTTCCAATGGCTGTTGAACCCAGCACAAGTTCTGTGCAGTTTTTAGTGCCTCGGTTTCCCTGTCCCAAAAGCCTCTGCTGATGGGAAGTAGGTTGGGTCAGCGCTCAGCTTAGCTGATGTGTTGGCATGAGCGGAGCAAACGGGAGCTGCTGGTGCCAAAAACTGGGTGGTTTTATTCCGTGAAGGATTTTTTCACAGGTTGGGACACTTGCAAGCCTGATGGATCAGGCTGTAGTGCTTGTGCATGTGGTGCTTCGCTCCTCAAGCCTTATGCATTGAGAAGGATTCCCAGCCTTAATTCCAAGTGAAATTCCTTAGTTGAAATCCTTGATTCCAATTGAAATTCCTTAATTCCAAGTGCAAGTTGCCTCATCCAAAGGGGTGGTGAAGGGGGGAAACCCTGCATTTGTCAAGGCGCTGAACACTTTGGGGAAGATGAGTCGAAGCATTTTGCATTTTTCCAGGATTAATCCCGTCTGGAAAGGGCCCGGGCATGCAAGCCTTGAACAAACATGGCCTGGTTATCGAGTCTCATGACAAACTGATGTTTGCATTAAAAAAAACAAAAGAGAAAAAGAGTTCTCGGGCACGTCTGCTGCATCCCTTTCAGTGCTTTAGAAGGGAGCCCTTCATGTCCGTGGCGCTCTGTTCCGCAGGAAAACCGCCGTGAGCAGCGGACAGCTGGGATCCTGCCGCTCTCCCCCTGTGGATACTCCCTGCAATAGGTCACGGCGCTGTCACGCAGCCCCAAAACAGGAGCGTTTCCAGCAGCTTAGGAAGAGCAGTCCAGCATCCCCCTGGTGTGGCCTCAAGCAGTTACCCCGAGCCTTTTTATCCTGGAAATAAAAATGACAATGACAGCAGAAAATGGCCCTTCTCTCCAGAGCCGGGCTGAGCGCTCTACTTCAAAGGTACTTTCATAGCCTCCCTGGAGTCCCTAATAGCGGATGCTGCTCGGAAAGGCCGGCTCCTCTCCTTGAGAGCTCGGGAGCGCCTGTCTTGAGGGGCAATATTTACAGCTTTAAAGGGCTCCAGGGAAATGGGAGCAAGAGCTCCAGCTTCTTTCTTTCCCTTTATTCTCGGAGCTGGGCAGGCGTGTTTGCTCCTGGCTGTTGGTTTGGGTTGCAGCAGTGGATTTTTGGTGCTCTGGGCTCGGTTACCAGGTGTGCCAAGAGGGTTTGTGTATGTCAGCTCCAAAGCTTTAGCTGGGAGTCCCAATTCTCTGCTAACAGAGTTTCCTAGATGGAAATACTCTAATTCCTAAACGTGTGGTCTCCATTTTTTTTTTTGGCAGTATAATGTAATATTCCTTTCCCTTAGCCTTGGCTTTCCAAAATAGCAGTGTTTAAAACATGCTGAGGTCTCTTAAAATCATTAGCATCTGGCTCTTAAAAAAGGTCCTGTCTTGTGTGCCAGCAAGCTCGGTTTCCATACTCACCACCCTTGAAGGAAACCCTGAGATTTCCTTTTTGTGTAAATCTGTACAGCTGATTCTGTCCTTAAGCTTTCCCTGCGTTTTCCTCCTCTTCTGCAGGCACTCCAGGCCTGTTTGGAAGAGAGGGAAGAAGAGTCGGTGTTCAAGAAACTCCTGGGCAAAGTGAAGGACGAGCAGGGCCTGGATGCTCAAACCCTCGTGTCTTTCCTGAAGCTGTTTCAAGACACGAATCCCCGGCTAAAAGCAGCGCTCTTGGAGACTGAGCTGGATGCTGGAGAAGGCCCACAGCAAACAGGTAGAGAAGGGGACGTTGCCTTTGGCAAAGTGGCTGCGTAAACGTGGAGGCAGGGCGGATCTTCCAAAAGCTGCTCCCGTCCCCTTCGGCGAGCTGCAGCGCTTCAGCCTTTTGTTCCCATCCTTTTTCCTGGGATGTGGAGTTGTTGCACGCTTGCCGAAATCCGGGATCGTTTCCCTGCCGCTTCCATGGGCTCGTGGGAAGCGCGGGCTTCCCCGGGGCGTCGTGTCGTGTCGGTGGCCGCAGGGCTGGGAGCTCCTTTCTGGCTCGAGTGTGACACAAAGCGGTGGCCTCGCAAACCTGGCGTTAACCTCCAGCTTGCTGTATGGCTTTGTGCTCTCTCAGATAAATGAAACGTTTTCCTTTCATAGAGTTTAAAGGGAATAGTAAAGTGGCTTTTCCTCTGCTGCTTGTGCTTGGGATGAGCTTTGCTATTCACTTAGATCTCTCACAAAGTCTCACTCACTTCAGGAGCCTGTCAGTTCCTTCAAACTGCCTTGTTTCTTCTTGTGTTTCTGAACCCTTTCCTCCCTCCACTCCCCCCAACCCAGAGAGCCCAGGAGAGGGAAAGACCCTGGCTGATCTTCTCCTGGATTGCAGGGGAGAGCTGATCAAGAGCGTAACACGGCTGAGCCCCATCGTCGAGTTCCTGGAAACGGCAGAGCAGGGATTCCTGACCGCGGCGGAGAAGCAGGTAATGAACGTGGAATGAGGAAAGCCCTGTGTGTGTGAGGGGCCTCCTCCCCACGGGGCGCCGGGAACGCTGAGAGCTGAAGCGCAGAGGTGACCTCGAGTTCAGCACGAGCGTGTCCAGGTGCTCCTGGGGCAGCGCCCGGCGCTCCGTGTAGGATCTGGAAATGGTGTTTGTGCAATACAGAGAAGGCACAGAGCTCTACAGGAGAGCTCGCTTTGCACAGAACCACCAAACCTCTGTGCTGCCTGCCAGCTGGATAGCAGGCATCGTCTTACCTTCCAGCTAACTCTCCCAGGATTTCTTTTCCTTAACTCTGGGCACACGGTTGCCTGTAAATGCACCACATCCACGGGCTGATTTCCTTTTTGATGTGTCGAATGCAGCACTTAGTGGGGGGAGCTAATGCTTTCCTGTAAGCACTTGCTATGTGTGCTGACTTTTTTCTCTTTCAGAAAGCAGAGAGGACAAAATGTTGTGTATCCACTGCTTGCTTTTGTGTGCTGGGGGGCTGCTTGCAAGGTGCCCCGACGTGCTGCTTTGGGCACCCAGCTTGCAGCCCTTCTGTCCTAGCTGGTCAAATCACTGCTTTTTGCCCCCTTTTCCCCCTCCCAGCACAAGGTTATAGCGAGTGGAAGCACTGTTGTGCTCAGTGGCACGAATCATGTCTGCTTTCTGTGTGAGCGAGTCTGGCTGGAGGCCACGATAGGAGGGCTGAAAACCTCTGCCCTCCTTCTGGCCCTCCTGCCACGACGGAGCTTCCCACATGGAGCGGCCCAGAGCCCGGACGCAGCTCGTGGAGGACCAGGGAAGGTGCCACGGCCAGAATTATCCACCTTGTCTTTATGGGCTGAAGCTGTGACTGGTGTTTGATATTACTATTTTTTCCCTGCTATGAAAGAAGAATGACAGAGCCTGGAGTGGGAGTGTGAGAGGAAAGAGAAGTGTGAATTCAGCAAAGGATTCGGCATCTACTGGGATATTGCGGCTGTCAGCAGAGATCCATTAAGGGGGTGCTTGGAGCCGAGTTCTTAGCCATGAAAATTGCATCAGCAGTGGAAAGATTAAAATTTTTCCTCTATGCCTGTTCATGTCACCGCCCGGCCTTTGCTTTTAAAAGCTGAACGCTTTCCCTGAACTGCCTTTTTTTTTTTTTTTTTTTTGTCTTTGGGAAATTGGATATTTAAAATACAGGCTTTTTCTGCCTCCCCATCTTTTGAAGAGGAAAAAAGAAAACAAAGAAAACAAACAAAACCCTTCTGCCATCATAATTCTGCCTCTTGGGCATCGGATGCAGCCTTTAATTACATGATCAGACACTGCTGTGTTCCTGGGACTCCTGCCTTGCTTGGTAAAGGGGTAGTTATTCAGGATTTCTTTTTATCCTCGTCAGTCGGCGTCCGCTGCCGAGCTGCGCTTGCTGCAGAGCCTCCCAGCCCTGCTCTGAATACGAAATCCTGCTGCTCCCTGGGCATTCCCTTCGTGCTCTTGTCTTAGCGGATGGATCTGGGAGCGCTCGGATGAGGCTGGGTGCAGAGCTGGGCACGGGGAGGCGAATGGGAAATCGAGGCTAAAATTGCCGAGAACAGATTGACCTTGAGGTGTCTTTTTTAAATAAGTATAAAGAAAAAAAAAGTTTGGCTTATTTCCCCCCCAGTAAGTGGGAAAGTGCTTAATTATTTCAAAGGGGCCAAGTTGTTTGAACTGTTGGGCTTGAGATCTCGCTGGCTCCGGTGGAGCGCCGGGAAAATGGTACGTGGAATTAGCAGCCCCCTCTGAAGGTTTCGTCTCACCCCCTTCATCCAGCGTAGCACGAGAGCGCTGGGCCAGCAAAGATAGCATCTCCTTCTGCAAGGTCTCACAAGCAGGAGGCTTTCCTTCCTCTTCTGGTGTTCACAGCCTCATTAGCTACGTATTTATTCAGCCAGGGAAGCGCGAGTCCTGCATGTAACAGCCTTCTTCCTAGGCAAGCAGGATCTTTCCTGTGCATGGAGTAAATCTCTTTGTGGGTGAAAACCAGGATGTGGTGTGTTGTGAAAACCCCCTTGTAAATCTGTGGCTTTGGTGAGGATTCTGTTACCTGGAATTCTTATGTTTTGGGTGCTTAACTTTGAGGCTTTACTGGTGTTTTTAATATAGGGAGATGGGGCAGGGAAATTGGGGAATGGCTTGGAGGCAAGTTCTTACTTTCGGGGACAAAAGCGCCACAGTTTTGCATAAGCTGAAGAGCTGTTTGGCCGTCGTGCTCCATGGCTTAGTCTTGGGCAAGGTTTGGAGCTCCCAGCCCACGGCTTGGGCTGATGGGACCCGGGAGCAGCCGCTGGTGTCTGCTCAGAGCCTCTTCCCGAGGGGGTTTTGGGCCGACCACGCTGACACCTCGGGGCGTTGGAGCGCTGGGGCTCCTCGGTGGACATGGGTTCCAGCAGGGCAGTGTCCCTGCGGGACTCCAGCCCTTTCCGCGCCGCCTTCCCAGTCCACCTTTCCATCCCTGCTTTTACAGGGTGGTTTCCACCTCAGTCTTCTGCCTGTCCCGTCTCCTCCGTGCTCTGGCCAGCCTGCGTGCCCCAACTCCTGTTGGCCACCAACAGAACTAGAGGAAACGGCCGGAAACTGAAGCATTGAAAGTTCCACAGGGACTTAAGGAAAAATTCCTTCACAGTGAGGGTGATGGAGCACTGGAACAGGCTGCCCAGAGAGGTTGTGGAGTCTCCTTCTCTGGAGATCTTCAAGACCCGCTTGGATGCAGTCCTGTGCCACGTGCTCTAGGTGACCCTGCGTGTGCAGGGGGTTGGACTAGATGAGCTCTAGAGGTCCCTTCCAACCTCAACCATTCTGTGATTCTATGATTCTATGATCCTCCCCTCTTTGCTTTCGGCCCTGTGTCTCCTTCTGGGCTGTCCTGCCCATGTTTAGCTCTAGCACCTGGATGGTCCAACGCTCACATCAAACCTCCTCCAGGGTAGGAAACGCCGGCGCCAGCAGCACTATCTGCCACCGCACGAGGAGCCTGAACGTGGTGGGTGGAGAAGCCCTGCGTGCACAACGGGAACTTCGAAACCTCCTGGTGTCTCCTGGGTGTTGTCAGAAACGGCAGCGCTGTGTCCCCACGGCTATCATTTCTGTGCACGTCAAAGCGGAGCCTGGAAACTCATCTGGGAACGTTAATAGGTTGTAGACTCCACATCCTCCAAGAGGACACGGTTCTTGTTGCCCTTCTGTGTTATCTTGAAAGGTGACTTCAGATGGGAGCGATCAAGAGTCAATTCAGTGTGAATTAAATGGGGGGAGATACAAACAAGTTCCTTAACACAGTTTTGCCTGTAAAAGGGCAGAGTTTTAGAAATGAGAGGAAACTAATTAATGAGATCAGCTGCTCTGAAGAGCTTAGGAGGAGCTGTTGGATTTTTCTCTTTTATGTTGAGGGTAGGGGAGCTATCTGAAGTTTGCATCCTCAACAGGAGGGAAGAGTTTGTAAGAAAGGGTTGCCAACTGCAGCGAATGAATAGCTCAAGGAAGAGCATTAGGAACCTATTGGAACCTGCAAGCAAAGGATGAAGCTGCTGATGGACAAAGAAACATTTCAGAGCTCGGGGATGAAGTGAGGCTTGCTGCAGGTCAAGCTCCCGGGTGCCACAAAATGTGTTAGGACACATAATAAAGCCTTGTTTGAGCAGGTAAAGAAAAAGGATAATGAGAGAAGGGGACCTGCAAGCTCCACCACGGCCTTTGAGGGCTGTTGTGCAGAGCCCGGGGCAAATCCTGCAGCTGAGGTGAAACCACAGCACAAAAGTGCAGAGAGGGCAGTGGCCCAGTCTGCACCCAGCAAACTGCCAGCGCCGACGGGTGGTTAGGAGACCAACACTGAGGTTTATTGCTGTGTTTCTTCCAGTGTCTCCAGTGCACGGGCAGGAGAGGGAAGCAGGGGTGCAGGCACCCCCCAACCTGTGCACTGGGTCCAGCAGGAAGGTGCCTGTGTTCCAAGCGCTGCATGTAAACAAGAAACTGAATGTAACAAGGGTGCTCAAGTCAAGTGTTTCTGCCTGACCTGGTTATCTCCATTTGATGAGATAAAAACGGGATTTACTGCCTCAATCTGGACTTGAGCGAAGCATTTGAATTTCATAGGGAGGAATTGTTAAACTGGAGGAAGTGGTGGCATTAAAAAAGCGTGGAGCTAATGGGGAGATAACGACGGGTTGTGTGGAAGGCAGGGCTGGGAGAGGGATTTGCGGTTCTTTGCACTCCCTTGACGTTATCATTAATGTTATTGCCACGGAGATATCAAAACACGGATGGGAAAACTTGCTGAGGAGCAAAACTGGGAGCCATTGTCCGCATGGAGGAGGATCCGCTAATGGGAGAAGAATTCTATAACTGGACCGCTAAATAGTGAGGGCTGAATGATGGGATAGTATAAAGTGAAGGGCATAGATGTAGATACAGTGACAGGAACTGAGAGTAAGACTTCATCTGCAACACTGCGTGCAGTCCAGCCGTGCTCAGAAGAGAGGAATTTGTACTGAAATAGAGACAGATTTGCAAGAGGAAGATCAGGGGAATGGGGAAGCTCTTTTACAAGAGAAGCTGTCTTATTTAGACAAGTAAAATGAAGACAGAGGGAATATGATCCCTGTCTTATAAAGGAATCGTAGAGAAGATGTGGGATAAACACCTCAGGGGGCTGAGAAGAGCTTTTTAAGCTGAAAGATAATGTTGGCATATGAACAAATGGCTGTGTGCTGGCCGTGAATAAATTTAAGCTGGAAATTAGAAGTATCAACAGGGGAATGAGGCTGTGGAAGAGCTTGTGAATCAGAGGAGAGGGAGCAAAATGTAACTAGTTTTAGGACAGATCTTAATTTTATTAATGGGATTGTATAGTGTCGTGCCTGTGGCAGCAGGGAACTTCGCTGGCGACCTACAGAGTTTCTGCCAGCCCTACATTTTAAATGCTTGGGAATGCAGTTTTTGCATGGAGCAGGTCAACCTGTACTTTTGAACTCATTTTCCCTTGTGAAGCCTCCTATTTATTTATTTATTATTTTTTAAACACACTTCAGTGTCAGCCTCTGTCCCCATCAAGGCTGGATCTCTTTACTGACTGTGCTGGGGAGGTTTTAAACTGACACATTGGAGCTTTTCCAACCTGCAGTGACTGCGTCTCACTGCAGAAATGTCTTGTATGGTCAAGTCATAGAAATACTCTCTCAATAGGATGCTTATCTAAATAACAAGATACTTGTTTTTCTTTCTGTTTTTCTTTCAATGATAAGCAGAAGAATGGGGGAGAGGAAAGGAAGAGCAACTACTGATTGGAAAGAGTTTGCTAAAAATATTAAATGGAAAATTGACTTGATGGAAGAACCCTCCATGGTAATTCCCAGAGTGGCCAATGTCAAATGTGTCTGGGAGAAGTTTCGGTGTTCCGGTAACTAGCACCCAGTGAAATTAATACAGGAGCTTTCCTGGGTTTACTGCACTACTGAGCAATATAATAGTGTTTCCCTGGGGTTATTCTGCTCCAGGAGTTTGTAGGAACCTCTCACAATTCCTTTGCTGTTTCTCTGTGTTGCAGGTGGTTCTGGATTGCTGTGAAGGCAGCTCTCACGAGGAGGCCATGGAGAAGCTCCTCAAGAAGATGGGCGAAGAGAAAACGCTGAAAGCTGAAAGCTTCATCAGACTCCTTGAGGCTGTGAAGGGATCGTTCCCTGGTCTCCACCGTCTGCTGGACAACTTGGCAACAGCAACTGTTTCTGATGGCAAAGGTATCCATATGCTAAACAGTGGAGATTTAGGAGATTCAGCTCAGAATTGGCAGGAAGTTGGGCTGCTTGTCCAGGTTTCAGTGCTCTTGCAGCCTTGCTTTCATCCAGGGGAATGGGATAGCCGTTTTAGGAGAAATTCTCGAAGCGATGGGATAAGAGGCTGTGCCAGTAAGAAGGTTCTTGCTTTGCAATGAGGTAGCTGGTCAGCTCTGAGTCCCTTACAAAGGCACAAACTGCTGAGTTTGGAGTGGGATGCGTTTTGTTTAATAAACTCTTTACAAGTCAAAGTATCTTTCTAAACATTACTCAATGCATTAATGACACTAGCTCATGGTAGATAGACCTCCTGACTTAGGAAGCAGATGCCTATAGCTGTTCCAAACTCCCAAATGCCTTGACACTGAGTACAGGCAAGGCCATCCTCGTGAGCAGCTTTTGTAGACTAAGGGAATGGTGAAGGCTCTCCAAGGCTTGGCTGTACCCTATGAAGCTGATTTGAGGCCCCTTCATCAATATTTTGGCGTTCTAGGGGAACTGCTAGTAAGATGAGGAACTCCTTTCTGTTCCACCAGCCCCTTGTCTTGCACTTGTCATTAATGTGAAGTGCTGGGATGTTACCCAGGTGGCTCCGTGGCTTTAATGTGCACTGTGGCAAGTTTGGCTGGGCTTAGGCACCTTGGACCAACTTGGGTAGTGGCAGCTTTCACTGGCTCTGAAGTTGCTTAAAAATTAAAAACTGGGTTAACACGCGGTGAAATGGAAATGAGTGTTTAATAGAAAGCAAAACTGCTCACGATGCTGCTAATTTCCTCCATAGCAAACGTTTGCTTTGTCGTTCGTTAAGCACCGCTGCTTTCCCGAACCACCAGGCTCCCAACATGGCTAATTACCTAGTGGTAATACCCATTCCAAGGAGGGGAGTGTTCCTTAATTACACAGGATTGAATCTCCTTCAGCTGAAGCTTGAGTAAACAGAGGCACAAATATTTCTTATCGTGGAAATGAAGAGGGAGGGTGAGATTGGAGCTCTTGCTGCAGGGGAGGCTGTACAGGGGCTGTGGAGGATGGCCAAGAAAAGAGTGCGTTTGTAACCACTGACATTTGCCTAAGGAAACCAGGAACATTCACAGGGGAAAATTATAATCCCTTGTAACCTGCCTTGCTGGTCTGCATGGGGCTCATCCCCTCCAGAGCTGAACTGCTTTGGGGGGCTTCTCCCAGGGCCTGGACCCAGGTGTCCCCACGCAGTTTGTCCAGGGCGTTCTCAACACTGGCTCCATCTTCCTCTGCCCTTCGCCTCCTTCATGGCCTTGGAGACTCTTCTTCTTTGGCACCAGATGGATTCCGAGTCCCAGGGACTTTATTTTCCTTGACTAAGCTGTGTGTTTAGCTGCTTTCTTCCTAGGCAGTGCTGTGCGGATAATTGATCTCTCCGTTTAGTGCTGAACCCAAACGACCCAAAGAGCTAAGCACACAAATGAAATGCATGCAGATGTCGTAGATGAACAACAGCTTTATCACTTGGTTTCTTCTGTGAAAGCAAAAAATATACCCTCCTATCTTTCCTCCAATTTTGTAACTCCAACCCTGGAAAAAAATACATTTTCAGATATATCTGTTTGGCAATCTCTAGATTTATTTATCAGCTAATGGGGGATAACCAAAATCAAATATTTTTCTCTACAGAGTGTATTTTCCCAAGTCTTTTCGACACCCTGAGTAACATTTTGCTCCTGCTTAAATTAGTCCCACTTCTCATTGTGTTCTGATACTGCGACATCTAAAAAGGGTCGTGGTGGGGCTTTGCATTCATTTTTTCTCAGGTCCATGAGGGCAGACCCAGCTTAGAATTAAATTCATGAGAAAGAAATGAGGTCCAAGTTGCATTTTGTGTGTGTGTGAGGGAAAGAAGAAGGTGCAGGTGCCACTTGCAATCAGGAGCCTGGTTTGTGTTCCTGGGACACAACTGGGCCCCCTCGGTGCTCCATCGTCTTGGACCATCTGGGTGTTTGTTGCGTGTTGGAGCGTTTGGTAATTCGGAGTGTGTTGCAGGGCTCCTGCATGGCAGAGCCTCCCCAAGACTCTACCTTTTTGACCACTATCTCCTGGCAAAGCTACAATTCATAGTCAATAACAGGATTTCTTTGCTGCCAGGCCATAAAAGAAACTGAAGAGCCTCTCAAGGTGCCGTCTTCACACACAAGAGCTGCTGTCCTTGTCTAAAACCCAAGATACCCTCTGGGCTTACACTAAGACTTCTGCAGACACTTTGTTTCAGTGAAATGGGGTATCCTCTGTTGTCTTGATTTGGCTGGAACAAATTTTGAGGAAGTGACAACCTTTGGCCAAAGGAGCCTCAGCTGCCCATGGCACCGTCCTGGCTTTGGCACGGAGCCGACCCCGGGCGATCCCCGCTCCTTCCTCCCCGGGCTCTGCCAGCAGAGCGACTCCCTGTTCCCAGCACGACGTGGTGGGACATCCCGGGCTTGGCCAGCAGCCTCCGCCTCCGAGGAGGCTCCTAACCTGCCTCCGTCTGCAGCAGTTCAGTGATGCAGAGCCAACAGGACTGGAAAGTCCTTGTGCTTATCCTGGGCTTGGAGGTGAAACCAGGCTATTTTAGTGGCCCCGGAAAACTGGCTGGCCCGGTATTTTCAGTTCCCCCTTGGCTCTGAGCAGCAGGAACCTTTGGGGAAGATCCTGCATGCTGAATCCTTCCTTCCGTTTGCTTCCAGGCCAGTGGAACCCGGAGGATTACGGAGCCCAACTTTTGAGGCGATATCGAGGAAACTTTGCAGAGCTTCTCACGGATCCCCAAACACTGCTGCAAGGGATCTCTGCTGCACAGAGCCTCGCTCCTGGTGAGAGAGAGGTAAGCAGTTCTGTGTGTGTGCAAAATACTGAGCTTTTATCTCCCATCTGCGAGCACGATGTCCTAGGGACTTGGTTTACCAGCTATCGTGGCAGTGTTCGGGGGCAATCCTCTCCTGCAGGACTCGAGTTAATGATTTTTTAGCATCCTGCAGCAGGAGCGAAGCAAAATAAAATAACATGTGTGAAGCTGAAAATCAGCAAGTAATCCTGACCGATTTCAGGATGGCAAGAGAGATTTTCACATGCTGGAGTGAGCCAAGGAGGTGGCCACTATGATGGGCTGGACCTTGACCAGCCCTTAAATGACGTCTTGAGCCAGGTCTCCAGCAGGGCCAGGATTTAGGAGGGGTTGGGTGTGGGGTGAGCTGAGCAGCCTCGGCTGGGGGGGGGC